CCCCCCCTCCAAGTCGCTGTTAGCCCCCCTATCTGGCCCCCTTCATTTCGATGCCCTCCTCCCCTGCCTGCAGCCTAGTGGGGAGGAGTGGTTGACCTGCTTCCCCTCCCCCCTCTTCTCCGGTGTTTTTTTCCCTCCCTCCCTGCTCATTATGGAGGGGAATGTGGCGGGCGAGACCTCTCAAGTAGACCCCGCCGCCCCTCCCCTGCCTGCCCCCCCGACAACCCCCCTAGCCTCTACCTCAACCGCCGCTGCTGGAAAAAAAAATTACAGTGTCTGTGTGTGTGTGTGTTTGTTTTAACTCTATTAACTTCATACGAGGGGAAATTGTGAAGCAGTGCTGGTTTCCTTTCCATCTGACTGCATAGCTCACAAACTCTCCGGTTATGATACTGAAGCACAGCTATCCATGGCAACTGAGTTGAAAGTCTTTACACCCAGAGATAGGCTTGAAGCAACTCTGTACCCTAAGCCTGGGATTCAGTCATCCTCAAACATTAGGGGGGCAAAGTGTTTTACAATCTGTATTTTGCGGCTGGCTCCTTACTCTTTTAACAAGCCAAATGCAGAACACTCGAAAGCAGAGCAAAATTTCCCAAACAAGATTTTTCTTGAAAAACTCAGGAGTCTGGTCTTGCTGTGGACCAGACACAGGTCTCCTGTTTGACTACTGGAGTTTTCAAAAGTGTTGTATTTTTAATTGCGGACACAATGAGAATGAAATGCCAAAATAAACAAACTAGACTATCAGCAAATGTTTGCCTTATCACCAGTGTGAATGTTACTCAGCTTATAAACTCTCTGGGCCATCTTTTCATTCTGTGTTAGTACAGCACCTAGCACAATGGGGTCCACGAGTGGAGCTCTTAGGTGCTTCCACAATACAAAGCACAGCAATAACAGAACAAGCTATTTCTGCATGAGGTACAAGACAATAATTATGGCATGTGCAGTTGAGGATGCATAATAACAAATCTGATTCCTTTTAAAAATCTGCTGATATAGAGAGTTTTTTTTCATTCAGGCAATTTTAATGATAATTTGTGGATACATACTTAGGTTAAGTAATGTATTTTATTACACTTATTTTATTCAAGAGAAAGCTCAAGAATAATGTAGTACTTTTGAAAATTATTTCTCTTTGAAACAATTACTGATTTCAATATTTTAATCTTCTCTTAGTCTTGTGGAAGAACTAAAACTCAATAATCCTGACTTTCCTGATGTCAGCAGTGGAATTTATGTACACGAAGTTGTCCCAAATTCACCTTCTCAGAGGTAGGTGGAATCCAAAGCAAATATCATTTTTCTTCATGTTGAAGATACTTATCCAACAGAAACTGCAGGCAGTGTTGTCGTTTATATTCAAGGTCTTGCATGTTCTTGCTTTATATTATTTTTGCTTTTCAAAGGGAATTTGGGCCATTTAGTAGAATACCTGTTAAAATATTTTGATGAATTTCTATTAACATTTAAAATAGTCAAATATTTATAATATCATTGCTAAGGGCAACATCTTAAAGTATTAGCTAGTTTGAATTTTTAAATAAATAAACACGCTTAAAGAACTATGTAACCATATTTGTATTTGAAAGGCAAAATTAAGTGTGAATAAACAGAACCTTTAATATAAATGAGGATGCTGCTTGCCAATCTTTGTTGAATAAATGTCTTCATATGTTCCCTATTACTATGACATAGTAGCTGTTGGCTTGAATTTTCTACAGACTAGGCTCAGTTTTCAAACTTCATTTCATACTAATATTGTTAAGCCCCAACACTTCATCTCGGAGGAATGAATGATTGTTTTTTCAGGCTTTCTACATATCCGATTTTAAGACTTTTTCTAGGAATTAATAAGAAAATTGGAGGATGAACTAAAAGTCATTCAGATAAATATTTGAAGGCAAAGAGAAAAAAAAAATTACCAGCATTTTGGTCAGTACATTCGTCCACTTTAGAATTCTTAGAAGTAGACTTTGTTTCTTTTCAAGGCACTCAGTGTATATGACAGGGGACAGTCTAATCTTGGCAGAAGGATGAACTAAAAAGACTTACTGGTGAAAGGTATCTTTCATGTCTGTGTTGTTATAGGTACTGAAGTTTTGAGAAAACAGTACCTAGTGAAAACTAGATTTGTGCTCTATCTGTCGTCACTGTTTTAGAAGACATCTCTTCAATTCAATGCTCCATGGGTACAATTTTTCATATAACTTTTTTTTTTCAAAAATTGCAGATTCTGCAATGCCAAAACATTTTGCAGATTTGTGTTGATTTTGCCAAACTGCTCATTTTGGAAAAAAAATTAAAATAAATCAAAACATCTCATTTCAATTTTTCAGTTTTGAAATGACTTTTTTGTTTCAAAATTTTCTTTAATGTTATTTTTAAAAATTCAAATACATTTAGAAATTATCAAAATCAAAAAGAAACATTTTGATTTTGTCAAATTGAAATATTTAATCTGAGCAAAAGCAATTTTGTTCAACTGTGTAATTCAGTGAAAAATTCAGAATATTAATTTTTTATCCATTCTGAAATGATTTTTCAACTTTTTGAAATTGCCAACAAATCAAAAAATCCATTATTCGCCTAGCTCTAATGCTTCATGTTTGATTTTAGAAAACTGCTGAGATTACAGTTTACTGCAGTTAATAACACCCTGAATGAAATTCACCCCTGTGGAAAGGCTGAGAGCAAGACTTATGTACGACATCCATCAAATAAGTGGTGCATAGACCTTATGCTGGTCCTCTATACAGGGTGAATTTCATGCCCTTGAATACACAGCTTAATCCTTGCTTTATCTTGCTTATGCAGAGGTGGCATCAAAGACGGAGACATCATTGTCAAAGTAAATGGACGTCCTTTGATGACCTCCAGTGACCTGCAAGAGGCTGTGATGAATGAGTCACCTCTACTACTTGAAGTTCGAAGGGGAAATGATGACTTGCTATTTAACATAGAGCCTGAAGTTGTCATGTAAACCGAACTGAGGAAGCTCACACCATAACTAAACTCACTTATTCTGAAACATCAGATACCTCCTTTACAGCTGCAGTGATTATACTTCCTGTTGACTAATGACAAGGTGGACTAACTTGATTGCCTGAGCCATGTCTGTACATAGTAGTTAAATTTAATTAGGTTACAAAATGAAAACAAACGTGATTTTACCTTCAAAGTAATTTCGTTAAAAAATATTTTGAGGATAACAATAAACAACCCCACAATGTGTGTAAATTGGGCACATTAATTATATGTCTGCCATTGCAGGGGCCTCAGGCACTGGTGCACTTCGGCCCTTCTGTTCTCTGCCTGTGGCCAGGGGCGGCTCCAAGCACCAGCGCAGCAAGCGCGTGCCTGGGGCTGCAAGCCGCGGGGGGCAGTGTGCCGGTTGCCATGAGGGCGGCAGTCAGGCAGCCTTCGGTGGCATGCCTGCAGGAGGTCCGCCGGTCCTGCGGCTTTGGTGGCAATTCGGCGGTGGGTACGCCTAAGGTGCGGGACCGGCAGATCACCCGCAGAAAGACCGCCGAATCCGGGTGACCAGTGGACCGCCTGCAGGTGTGCCACTGAAGGCCGCCTGACTGCCATGCTTGGGGCGGCAAAAAACATAGAGCCGCCCCTGCCTGTGGCACATAATAGTCTAATCTCCTGTGACCGTAATGCTTCGGTCTAATTTTGGTTGTTGGCTTTAGTGTGTGGGTACTGGGTGGTATTGATGGCCTGTGATGTACAGGAGATCAGACTGGAACTGGTGGTCCCTCTGGCCTTAAACTCTATGACTCTTTCTGGGGTGTCACTATAGAAACTGGCTCCAGCCCCAGTCCCATTAAATTTAATAGAAGTTTTGCCATTGATGGCAGGGTTAGTCCTGTAATTTGAAAGTCCATAACTCCATCAACAGTGAGGAAACATGGTTAGAAAGGGGAAATTGCCATTGGATGATTATAAGCAGGATTTTGACACAACAGAACTAAGCTACTTTGACCAAAAGCTGAGCTTTTTTTTTGTTTGTTTTTGCATTTTTTGCCTCTTTAAATGTGAAATTAGCATTGGCAAAGCCTTTATTAGTTCTTGGAGCTTGTACATTATATGTGAATGCAGGTGGGGAAAATTTGTAAATATAAAAATAGTATGAAAGTGGTAACAGGCTATAGAGTGTTACACCTAGGTCATGCAATTCTGGAATATAGTAAATGATTCTTATAGAATTAATGCTTTAGTTAAATATATAAAAGTCGAAACAATGTGCAGAAAAAAAAGTTTGAAAATGCACAGTATTTTTACAGGGTTTTTTAAAGTCATGGTACAAATTAGTTTTTCATTATACTGGTACGCTTTGCTGAAAAATTGATATACTACTTATGCTTGTACTGTATATGTTTCTACTGTAAGGAAATTGAAGTTTGCACAAATAAAATTTTGCTTTGCACCACTGTTAATAATTATTTTTTCAAATATTCTCTTGTTCTGGAACAGACTCTCCCAAGAGATGATTTAGCTAAAGAAAGTTGGGCTGATTGATATGAAAGCCTTTTAAAGGCTACAGAAGCCTTGATTTCATAGCTTTGTAATGTAATTTTTTTGCTGAGATCCTGCCCTTACTTACTATGTTTAATAATGCTTTATGCACATTATAATTCAAATTTTATAATGTGATTTTCATATTTTTATTATTATTTATACTATGGTGGCAACTAGAGAACCCTGCTAAGATACAGTTGGGGCACTAAGGAAGAGAAAGAGTAGGTAACTTGCCCCAGGTCAAACCCACTGCTGGCCCATGCTGGTTGAGTTGGGCTAAGGGGCTTGGGCTAAGGAGCTGTTTTATTTTGGTGTAGACATTGTGGCTCAGGCTGGAGTCTAGGATCCTGCGAGGTGGGAGGGTCCCAGAGCTTGGGCTGCAGCCCAAGCCCAAACATCTACACCACAATTAAACACTCCTTAGCCCAAGACCTGCTCTGAGTCAGCTGGCACAAGCCAGCCGCGGGTGACAAACTGCAGTGTAAACATACTCACAGTAAGCCTGGGGCATAGCCAGGAACTGAACCTAGCTCTCCTGAGCCCCAGTGCCTAAAACATTAGAACTGCCTTTCTCAGTGAAGTTCACCATCGTTCCTAACTCATGTGCAGGAATTTTCTAAGGCCACTGTCTTTGTTCTGTCTTGTCAGGGACTCTTTTTAAAACTAGCCAAACATTTTAGTCTTGGGTATTGATTGTGCAAGCCTTGTGCATGTGGAACTCCCACAGAAAGCTACAAGTGTTCTGTATGTGGAGAATTAGCCAGATCAAGCACTTTGCAGTAAAATACACAAACAGGCTCCAAACCTGCAAATAGCTATGCAAGTGCTTAACTATTAACGTAAGTAGTCCCATGTTTTCTGTATACAAAGGTCAAGCTCTTTGGTACCTGTGACAGGGCGCATGAACCCCACACCAGCCTGGAAAAGGTTAAGGAGCTGCTCTGTGCTGGAGTAGCCCTGCCCCACCACATCAGTAAGTCATGCCAAAAGTGGAGGAGGACTTTAAAAGGAGGAAACTCATTTCAGTAATGGGCAGCTCTGGGAGGAGGACAGAGTGTTGAGCTTCTCAGCTCCCAGGAAGTGACTTGGTAGCCAGCAGAGCTCATGCCCTTGCCTAAAAGAAATACAGGCCCTCTGTGTTGAAGGGGGAAGACTGTATCCTATAGCTCTTACTAGAGAACGAGTAGACTTTTAAGTTGGACTACAGCCCATGCAGGGCCCCTCTGAAGAAAGAACGAGGAGTACTTGTGGCACCTTAGAGTACATGTACGTATACAATGTACATTGGCCAAACCGGACAGTCTCTATGTAAAAGAATAAATGGACACAAATCAGACGTCAAGAATTCTAACATTCAAAAACCAGTCGGAGAACATTTCAACCTCCCTGGTCACTCAGTTACAGACCTAAAAGTCACAATTCTTCAACAAAAAAACTTCAAAAACAGACTCCAACAAGAAACTGCAGAACTGGAATTAATTTGCAAACTGGACACCATTAAATTAAGCTTGAATAAGGACTGGGAGTGGATGGGTCATTACACAAAGTAAAAACTATTTCCCCATGCTAATTTCCCCCCTACTGTTACTCACACCTTCTTGTCTACTGTTGGAAATGGGCCATCCTGATTATCACTACAAAAGTTTTTTTTTCTCCTGCTGATAATAGCCCACCTTAATTGATTAGTCTCATTAGAGTTGGTATGGCAACACCCATTTTTTCATGTTCTCTGTATATATATATATATATATCTTCCTACTGTATTTTCCATTGCATGCATCTGATGAAGTGGGCTTTAGCCCATGAAATCTTATGCCTAAATCAATTTGTTAGTCTCTAAGGTGCCACAAGTACTCCTTGTTCTTTTTGCTGGTACAGACTAACACGGCTACCACTCTGAAATCTGAAGAAAGAGAGGCTAATGTCTTAGCTGGGACTACCTGTTTGTTTATTTTCTCTTTATTTATTTATTTTTTTGCTGCTCCTGAGTGGTTGGTCTGTTCTCTGGCATGCTGAAAGGGGGAGAAGTATCCGGAAGGGCTGGGCTGGCCATCACTGCCAGAGTTCTACAGAGGGCTCCTACTTTAGCAGCTGGACCTGAGTGAATGCACATTCCCTGCAACATCCCAAGGGGCTGCAGTGTTAGCATCAGGTTCTTGACAGGACCATGTAAGTTATTACTGCATTTAAAAGAAATCACAAAGACCTCTTTATATTGAGATAATATGGAGTCCTAATGTAATTTTTAGCCAAAGCTAAAAGCTTATAAATAAGAAGTGTGTTTTAGCTCACAAAAGCTTATGCTCAAATAAATGTGTTAGTCTCTAAGGTGGCACAAGTACTCCTCGTTCTTTTTTGTATAGTGATTGTTTGCAGTGTTGTTGTAGCTGTGCTGGTCCCAGGATATTAAAGACCAGATGGGTGAGGTAATGTTTTATTGGACTAACTTTGGTTGGTGAACGAGACAAGCTTTCAAGCTACACACAGCTCTTCTTCAGGTCTGGGAAAGGTAATCAAAGTGACTCAGAGACCTTCAGTTGCTAAGCATCCCAGTGTAGTTTATTTACACTTGCTCTTTCCACCACTTTACTGATTCATACACCATAATTATTATTCAGTTTCTCCTCACTTCTCTCAGGGGAGATAAAAGAAATCCTTCCCAGTTCTGCAAGCCTCCTTTTTCCCTTGTACTCCCCCGCTATGCCTTATTACACCTCCTGTGTTAATGGGCCAATTTTCTCATTAGTCCTCCCCCAGCCCATTCTAATCCACTAATTCAGCTGTTGGTTCCCAGCACTCTGTCACAATGTCACAGCTAAATACAAGGTGGAACAGATTGCTTAGTTTAAGTAGTGAACACATTTCAAAGGACCATTCAAGGTGATGTGGACTATTAACAACTCTGCAGTCACAGGATAAAAAGCGGGGTTGGGGATTACAGATTGTTATAGTAAACCATAAATCCAGTGTCTTTATTAAGACTGTAATTTTTAGTGTTTAACAAAATTATGAATTTGTTTTGTTTTAAACCTTCTGGCTATTAATTTTATTTGGTGACCCCTAGTTCTTGTGTTATGAGGAGTAAATAACACTTCCTTCTTTACTTTCTCCACACCAGTCATGATTTTATAGATCTTTATCATATCCCTCCTTAGTCATCTCTTTTCCAAGCTAAAAAGTCCCAGTCTTCTTAATCTCTCCTCATATGGCAGCCATTCCACACCCCTCATTATTTTTGCTGCCCTTTTCTGAACCTTTTCCAATTCCATGATATATTTTTTGAGATGGGGCGACCACATCTGTACGTAGTATTCAAGATGTAGGTGTACCATGGATTTATATAGAGGCAGGGTCTGGTGCTGCTCTGAATTGGTGGGCCCTAGTCTGTGGGGACCTTGCTTCTAATGATGAGTTTGGGCAGATGTTTGAAGATCAGAAGATGAGGTTCAAAAATATTTATTTCAGGATGGAGTCTCCATTGAGTATGGATTGTAGTTGTTTGACACCCCATATGGGTTCCAGTATAAGGTGGTAGGGGACAACTAGGGGTGTGCAGTCAGAGAGTCTTTTATTTTTCTGCATCGAAGCAGGTTCTCTTGGGGTATTAGGGTGGCCTGTTTGATGATGCGATCTATTTTTCTGGTGGAGTGCTAAGTGTGTATCCTGGAGTTTCTTCTCAGATTATGTTCTGTGGTATCGGAGTGCCTAGCTATAGATAACAGATTTCTTAATGTGTTTGGGGTGGTTACTAGCTCTGTGGAGGTAAGCATGCAGATCTGTGGGTTTCTTGTATACTGTATAGTTGTCTGTA